GAAAAAAAAAGGTACTTGACAAGTGGAATTTTCCTCCAACCGTGGCCGCCAAAATGGCAACTGACGGATGAAAGGTGGCGCTCTTACACAACCAACCAAAACTAATTCTCGAAAAAGGTACTTGACAAGTGGAATTTTCCTCCAACCGTGGCTGCCAAAATGGCAACTGACGGATGAAAGGTGGCGCTCTTTTAAACACAACCAATCCCCTCTGTTAGTTTATCTTTCTACTCAGGAAACATTCAGCTCATAGCTCAAAAAATCACCAGTACGGGTATTCCCGATGTTACCCGACCAACACGCATCATCGCTCGTGCGTATTCACCCTTCCGGTCGTTCAATAATTTAGACGGTTCTAGTGAGTTTAGAGGAATCACGTGACGATATCGCAATCGTGGTCGTTTCTATCTGTCCGTATCTGCTCATTATCCACCGAAGTAGACGCTTTTACGTTGATAGCCACTCCAGCTGCGGCAAATCAAAATCCACGGAACAATCAACAGAGTGTTGGTTGGGGACTCGGGTCAGAGGACAACTCATACGTCTCAGTTGTGTGAGTAATTCTGCCCACGCGTGGACTTCACCAGAGACGGAAGGGCGCTCCTTTACTGTTCCTTCCATTAGCTGCATATTGTTTATTGCTCAAAAAAACGGAACAGCTGACCGTTTCTTCTCGGCCTCTTCTAACGTAAAACGAAGTCACTTGCACAAAACAAGGGATGTAATGAGAGGGTTAATTTCCAACTACGAGGAAACGTTCTTTCTGTCTAGCTTCAGCACACTTGTCACATTTGGACGGACCGTTAAAAGTATACTCAATCTTGCAGGCGGCACGTAACAGTTTCACGACATCAAAAATCTACCACTTGGCTTGTCTGTACCGACTACTTGTTCCCTGGGAACCGGTTGCAGGCATAAATGCTCTGCTGACTGGCTGACTGAGTAGAAGTCTGTACAGAAGTCTGTTTTTCTGGAAGAAAAACTCGCAGAGGGATGCCTCTCACTTGAGGTAACGGTTCACCGCGTTCCTTGAATCCTGTGCTTATTAAAGGGACTTCATTCTAACACGTACGTTTCGTGGAACAAATCCAGTCTTTTCCCGGTAACTTTGGATGTATGTATTCCCTTTATCAAACGCACAAATGCCACAAGAATGACCCTGATGTAAACGTTGTCAACGGTGGCTCATCTGAACAAGGTGCAAGAGTGGAAGACTTCGAACCAGCTATGGCAAAGAAGGCATCCCTTAGAGGCGGGTAGCACAGACAATCTGATAGATGATGGTATCTCATCAGTGTAAGGCCTGAAAAGATCCTTCATCGGTTTAACTGAGCTCGCCAATTGAGCAGGTACCGAGTTGCAAAACAATTCGGTCGAGTCGAGCAAGAACTCTCAAGATTCTGATAGATTTACATGAGTTGGGTGTTTTCAAAGAAACGCGGTTGATCAACACGTGCTTTGTGCGTTAAGCAAACAGTAGCTCGGTATTTGTGCCGCCATAACTTGACCGACAAGACCATATTAATAATTTAGACGGTTCTAGTGAGTTTAGAGGAATCACTTGACGATATCGCAATCGTGGTCGTTTCTATCTGTCCGTATCTGCTCATTATCCACCGAAGTAGACGCTTTTACGTTGATAGCCACTCCAGCTGCGGCAAATCAAAATCCACGGAACAATCAACAGAGTGTTGGTTGGGGACTCGGGTCAGAGGACAACTCATACGTCTCAGTTGTGTGAGTAATTCTGCCCACGCGTGGACTTCACCAGAGACGGAAGGGCGCTCCTTTACTGTTCCTTCCATTAGCTGCATATTGTTTATTGCTCAAAAAAACGGAACAGCTGACCGTTTCTTCTCGGCCTCTTCTAACGTAAAACGAAGTCACTTGCACAAAACAAGGGATGTAATGAGAGGGTTAATTTCCAACTACGAGGAAACGTTCTTTCTGTCTAGCTTCAGCACACTTGTCACATTTGGACGGACCGTTAAAAGTATACTCAATCTTGCAGGCGGCACGTAACAGTTTCACGACATCAAAAATCTACCACTTGGCTTGTCTGTACCGACTACTTGTTCCCTGGGAACCGGTTGCAGGCATAAATGCTCTGCTGACTGGCTGACTGAGTAGAAGTCTGTACAGAAGTCTGTTTTTCTGGGAGAAAAACTCGCAGAGGGATGCCTCTCACTTGAGGTAACGGTTCACCGCGTTCCTTGAATCCTGTGCTTATTAAAGGGACTTCATTCTAACACGTACGTTTCGTGGAACAAATCCAGTCTTTTCCCGGTAACTTTGGATGTATGTATTCCCTTTATCAAACGCACAAATGCCACAAGAATGACCCTGATGTAAACGTTGTCAACGGTGGCTCATCTGAACAAGGTGCAAGAGTGGAAGACTTCGAACCAGCTATGGCAAAGAAGGCATCCCTTAGAGGCGGGTAGCACAGACAATCTGATAGATGATGGTATCTCATCAGTGTAAGGCCTGAAAAGATCCTTCATCGGTTTAACTGAGCTCGCCAATTGAGCAGGTACCGAGTTGCAAAACAATTCGGTCGAGTCGAGCAAGAACTCTCAAGATTCTGATAGATTTACATGAGTTGGGTGTTTTCAAAGAAACGCGGTTGATCAACACGTGCTTTGTGCGTTAAGCAAACAGTAGCTCGGTATTTGTGCCGCCATAACTTGACCGACAAGACCATATTATTTCTTCTAATCATTTAAATGTCTTTTTTAGTTATTTTCAAATATATACGCTAAAGAATGCACTCAAATCCGAAAAGGAAACGGCGTCAACTTGAGGCAGTTTTCTGTAGGCAAAATTGCCTGAAATTAAGCTTTTTAAATTAAGAACTCAATTACACGTAACGCACTACACATAAGATTGCTGTCGTCGACAGGACAGCCCATGACCCGTTTCGCCCTTCCACTTCGGGCTCATCAGCTAGGCGCAGTTCCCGAGTTTTTCGTCAACCTTATGTTCTACTTGAAACCAAATTGCACAAAACTAGCGAACTATACTCAGTTGTAAACTAATTTGGTTTTTCGAGAGACTCACCCGGAAGCCAACTGAATCTCTCGCTTGTGATGTTTCCAATTACTCACTTCACACTTATAAGAGCTAGCATGATTTACGGAGACTTTCAGCTAGGAATAAAATCAACTAAATTAGATGAGTTCATTGTGTGAATTACAGATATTACTAAGAATATGTAGTTGACTCCGAATGTGGTTGCAACGTCACGTTTATCAAACAATCAGATATTTTAACAGGTTGATTCGGGAGATATGTACAAGTATCTAAGTAGGCGAGTGATCAGTCCAAAGCGTCGGCGTGCGAACTGTAATCCGCCGGGGTGAGTTGGACCAAGTGGTTAGAGCGCGAATTTGCTGACCCGGGGGTCAGTGGTTCGAACCCGACCTCTGTCTGTCGACTTTCTGTGTCTAGGTTTGGGCAATCTCGTAGTGTCCCAGCCCTCTTGCTTCCCTCGGGTGGCATGGCGGCTGGGCACCGGAAGGGTGCTACAGCTGAACGATTTTTTTAGATCCGCCGTGACTCTGATGCGTGACCCCAGGACATTATTTAGCCTTCTTGGAAGTCCTAAAAGCATGTTCCGTCTTTTGTACCTGGAAGGATTCCTAGATGTCAGGTTAGTAGCAGAAATATGTGTGATCCTTTTCAGCATTTGGAGAACGTGGAAATGACTGCACAGTTAGTCAGTAGCCATGTTTGTTTTGACATCAGATCCTCGAAAGCAACACGGATCGTCCAAGTGAGTACTTCTCTGGATTCCCTTTTTGAACATGACTTATTGAGCTAAAGTCCGATATTGATGAGCATTCTAACTGCAGACAGACATTAATTTGATTTTCACGAGAGACCCAACTGAATCTCTTGTTTATGATATTCTACAACTGAATGTGCTGCACACAGGCCGCCTCATGATATTCGATATATCGCAGTATATTTTCATAAAGGAAACTAGTCACCAACTACTCATAAACGAGAGATTCAGTTGAGTCTCTCGTGAAGGCCAAATTGCTTTGCAAATGAGTGTATTTCTCGAAAACAGTCCAATTGGGTTCAAGTAGATCATAAGGTTGATGGAAACTCGGAGACTGCGCCTAACTGATGGGTCCCAAGAAGGGCGAAACCGGTCGTGGACTGTCAAAGAGTCCTCAGCAACCTTGTGAGTAGTTTATTATGTGAAAAAAGAGGCAGACATTAACTTTTTTAAAAGGCAGGCCCGAAAATGTCATTTGAACGGTACGGAGTTCTCGCATCTTCCTGCGCTATTACAACAAACGACCGTTTGTTTCACCAAGAGATTAGCAGATTGTCAATTTTCTGGCAAATTCGACGCGTGCGAGTCGTCTAGTTTCGTAATTATACAATGTATCAAATTGCCGGAACCAGTATTAATCAAATGTAGAATGTACGTATCACAAACTCCCCTGGAAGCGTTTGTTGACTCGAGAGATATTATGGTAAGTGATCAGCGAGAAACGTGTATTCGTTCTGAGGAATTTTCAAAAAGGCCTCCTTCCATTTTTAGACGATGGGCTACACAGTTTCGACAGCATACAAGGTGTACTCGGCGAATCCCATGTATTACCTATTTTCTAGTTGGGGTAATCGACGGTGAGGGTGCAGTTTCTCTTCCTTGTTAATTTTCTTCGAATACCACCTCATACATCAACACTTTTCAACGTTTGCAGCCCTGAAAATCCATATAAGTGAAGCCTCCTTCAACGTGCTACGAACTTTCAAGTCATTTATCATGACCAAACGTGGTTCGATGGAAATGAAGGTAAGCACTTGCTGCTGTCCACCGGGCACTCATTTTAACTACTTTTTGTTGCACAGTAGTATAAAATAATTCATTTTGGTTCTTGGCTGCAAGGCCTGGGGCCTATCAAGAAATGGCGAGTAGTCTTTTGAAACTAACCCATAAGTTTCCCGTGAAGTTTCGTTTTCCCACAACTGGTTTTGGGGCTCACCAGGTAGGCACAGTCCCCGAGTCAAGCTTACGTTATACTTGAACCCAAATTGCACGAAATTAGCGCTCATCTGTATATCGATTTGGTTCTGCCGGGAACTAAAGTATCATCCTGTTAAATGCAAAATTGAAAAACGAACGGAATTTGTGGGATATCGATCGAGATGCTTGATTTTGAAAGACTTTGCAAGAAGCAATTACTTTTATCATCACTAATCGAGCAGTGAGGTGGCGTTTGTGAAACACCTTCAACTGGAAGATATCACAAATTGATGGCCGCACTGAGTTTCATTCCATTTCAGTGTTCATTTTCAAAGAAGAAACATTACTTCAGCTTACCTATCGCGAATTATTCTCGATGTTTTTGTTATCTTTTATGATAGTTTTCATTATTGCCGTTCTCTACCTTTCTTCTCAGGGAAAGGGGGAACAAACGACGTACTGGTTACACGGTGAGGGTAATTTTATCGTGGATCCTGTGCCAGAAGGTGAGCCGCTGGTTGGTGGCCCATACGATGGTGCTGTAGGTCCACTGCCCATAGATACGCGTCCAGAAAGCCATCCCACTGGTGATCTCTCACAGTCGGGGCGGCTCCAAGGAAATAACCGGGGTGCGGCTCCGCAGAACAAGGGTGCACTGTTATCTCAGGACTCCACGCTCATAACTATACCCGAATTCCCCGCGACAAACCCATCAGAAGCTATTATCCCTGAAGAATTTGTAAACCCGAAAGATCGCAGTAAACGACGTATCGGGATTTGTCATCCTCAGAGTATTCAAGTACCTTGTGATAATGATACAAACGTGACGAAATTAGAGACTGCCGGTGTGTGAGCCGTACGACCTCGCGCCGTGCCATTTTACTACCTTTCTTCCCCCTCCCTGTTCAAGAAAACATACCCTTTTTTTACAGATTCTCACCTGTTTTGTCTGTGAAATGGCATCTCAGTCCACATTTCCCACGGTCTTTCATCTCTATCTAGCCACCGTGTGCTTGTCTTTCTGCTCGTGCGACCCACCTATCTGTCCGCTTTCCAACTAACTTGTGTTCTTCAAATGTCTAATCATCTCCGTCGCCAGTGGTTCTGTCTTTTTCACTGTCTGTTCATGGGACTCTCATTCACATGTGTAGTCAGAATAGTGAGGTCCGAACCCACTTTCTGGATAAGAATCGCACCACAAGTTTACAACGACGACAAATCAAATTGGCGCTCTGTTAAATTTGGAATTTGCTGAGGAATGCACTCGTTCAGGTTCTCCCCTGACCTTCTTGTGATATATGGCAGTGAGGGTAGGCGATTTATGACTCTCGTCCATCTGCTGATTCAGTAGCTTGATCATGCAGCCATGCTACATCAACTGCTGAAATTTACCTGAATTCTAGTTATTTTCCGTTTTTACTATGCCGTTTCCTGCCTCGTTACTGCCAGAGGCGCCCTCACCAACCCTATTTCTCTGATCACAGATAAGCGAGTCCACAATTCTGTCTTCTTCTGCCCCTGCTGCTGTCCCTTCTCTCTTCGAATTGAAGTCCTGTTATTTTTTGTACAGACATTTTTACCGTGGTTACAGACGACACCCGCACGCACACACACAGTGACATACAAGCAAACGTTTTTCATTGACTGTCGAATATGATAGATCATACTCTCCCCCCTCCCCCATAATCCCATCTTCCTCTACTCAGCTCAGCTCAGGTTTCTTCCAATTCTGTACAGTTTAGCATTTCCATTTCTAACAATGACTTGCCATTGGCCACTGCAGCCACCCTCGTGGTCTGGATTGGTGGTTTGGTGCTTGTGGGAGGGGGTGGAAGACCGCTATTGTTTCCGGACTGTCATTATCGCTATCACTTCCACTTTTTCCCGTTTCGAAACAGCAGTCTTCAATGGGCGACATATGGGTGTGTGTGTGTGTGTGTACGTGAGCACCGGGAACTGAAATAGAGTGAAACAGTAGATTTTGATAACTTTGTTTGCACTTTGTTTTTTGGTCAACTACTTGGGGGGCTGGACGGTGGGTTCAAAGCCATCACTGCTAAATATAAACACTTCTAACTGAAGATACTCACGAGCCTAACACCAACCTCTAAATCTGACTAACAGCCAAACTCACACCACTGTCCCCAATACCGCCAACACCAATCACTGTCATCCATCAAACAGACTGTTTCACCGTCATTCCAAACATGTTCATCAACAGTACCAGTATAACGCAACATTCACTACCTCTGCCAAGCCCAACACCAATTCAGGCAAGTTACGAAATCGGTCTTCGAAAGTAACGAACACACCCGCCCAGATTGCAGATTAGACGGCCGCCTGGAGAAGCACCCACGAAGTTAACAATAAAACTGCCACTGATAACGTCGCCGTCGCGAAGCCACAATCACCACCAAGGCGACTACCCACATCAGTCACAAGGTGGCATCGACTACTGCCACAAACAGGTGGTCAAGAGACACACTGGGTATGTACGCCACGAAAACTGTCATACAAGACTACTAGGCTTACCAGCTCGTGTGCACTTATTGTCAACCGGTGCAAAGTAAGCGTTCAAACTTAAGAGAAGAAGCGGACCTTCGTTTTAACGATCTTCTTGTGGAGAACCCCTGTCCAATACGACCGGGGTTTGGACTCTGTGTGCTGTGAGTCCAAAATCACCTCACAGGTACGATCTTTGTCTAGAAAAAAGAAGTAAATCGAATTCATAGCCTAGTCTCGAATGTCCTTAAACGGGGATAATTACACATACAAGTATGGTGACTTACGACTTTGTAAATACGCAACCTAAGTCGGTCAGACTCAGGGCGTCAAAGAGCCACCCCATAGACTGAACTCATCGCTTGTACAGATTAACTCAGCTACATCGTGGAAGTTCAATACCAGCAAACTCAGCTGCGCTGGTCATTGCCGTCTTCCTGGATGGAGACCCCGAGACGGGCCACATCAATGGCTAGAGACATTGTCAGACATGGCCCAGTTGCGCCCTTAATAAAGCTCGTACATCAAGGCTATTGCCTTCAATGTATAGCTCCCTTCACAATCCTTCCACTTGACCGCCAACTGACTGCTGAACTTATGCAGCAATTTATCATCTCCCTCCTGCAATGCGCAGCTACCTACCCCACCTCCCCATATCTTCGGTAGACGAAACTGTGGCAGCTACAACCACTATAGGACAAATACGCGGTTGTTACAGCTGACAACGATGATGATGAACCTGCGGAACGTGGATTCCTCTGAAGTTCACGCAAAAACGCCCCCACGGACCAGTGAGGCACATTTTATGGCCTGAAACACCTTTGTCTAATAGTGTAAAAGTTGTTGGTAGTATGGGATTTTAACAGAGACTTGGCCGTACAGGTGAAGCCAGTCCATGTCAAAAAGCCCAAAAGTACCTTGAGGCTGCTGAATGCTCATTGATCATTGCTCAGTGTGTACTTCACGAAACTCCAGGGGATCACGAATCTGCAACCCCCCGGTTAGCAGTTTGAACACCTGATATTTCGGTCACGAGATGAACTAACGCTTAAAGTTTTCTGAAGTTTTCTGACTGCACAGCAATGCATTGAAAATAATAAATAATGATCGTTCAAACTTTCGGAACTTAGCTACCATGCCATCCAAGGGAAGCACAATGGTCGAGACAACTTCAGGTTGCCCAAGTGTACACAGGAGCAGTCGAGATGCTGGGGTCGGGTTCTAACCACGAGTCTCCCATTTTGTAAGTTCGCGCACTAACTACTGAGCTACCTCGAGCTCAGCATTGCACTGAGGATACTGCTGAGGTCGGCGAATGATCTCCAAGCGTTTCATCACTAATCGAGTTGACATGGTCATCGCCATGCTGGGGAGGGGAGTGGAACGTAGCTGCACACCAGTTGTGGCCTTCGTACTTAGGCTTCGCTAAAGCCCTGAATTTTACTGATTTCTTCGAGTGAACAACGATTAAGCTGGGTAAAGTTTTGAAAATGCACCTTCGCTCACTGTTTTCCCGTAAAAGACGCCCCCTTTAATGAAACGGTTTTGTCCTGCACTAGCAATTCTTGTCACTGCTTTGATGGGTAAAGAGTATCGACAATGAAACATTTTGACCTCGATACTCGCAAACAAAACCGTTCAGCTGTAACACTCTTCCGGTGCCTAGCTGCCATGCCACTTGAAGGAAGCACGAGGGCTGGGATACTGCCAGGTTGCCCAAGCCTAGACAAGGAAGTCGAGAGGCGGAAGTGGGATTCGAACCACGGACCTTCCAGTCAGTAAATTCGCGCTCGTACCACTTGGGCCGTCTCGCCGTCTCTCAAACAACTATTAGTCTTTTCCAACAATCAAGAAAGACCGATACTAGCTGTCGCTGCAACTGATTTCTCGCTAGCCATGTTGGAGCACCATATCCTGATGTGCATTTCCTGTGCGGGTAATGGTGAGGTCTGCATTGCAGGACAGCCTTAATGATAGTTAGTTTAGTTTTCCTACCGCCACAGTTAAAATAAGGATCTTCCGGTCCACGGAAAATGCCAGACCAGTGTGTAGCGGTTTAATTTGACCGCTTAAAGGTTGCAATGTCCTCAAAAGCTGTGAGGCATCTGCTTACGTGAGATGATACCGCTTCGTTGTTAATAGATTCTGTTAGCTCAGTTGCAAAGTGCACATAGTGGGTTTACTTTCGTGGTAACCCCTGGATTGACCAGGGCGTCCCAACTGGTTTCGAGTAGTAAACAGTGATATGTACATATACTGTTCTGAAAAAAAGCAAAATCCCCATGATTAATTTAAGTTGGTCGGTTGCGCTGTCTGGTTGCCTCCAGGAAGGCTCGGATGAGTGCAGCGATACCGAAATAACGGTTACGACACCCTAACTGCTTCGCGTCACTCAAGTGTAAAGTGATATGCATACCTTGATTGATTTGAGTGGCACTGATGAGCATGGAAGGAATTCGTTTGCACCTGCAAGTTTTTAGATGCAAAAGCACGATTTGTTCTATGAAAATCAATTTTTTTCAACTTGTGCTTTCACTTCACCTTCCAGTTCAAGAATCAAGTGTGTTACGTCTTTGTGGTAGCTGCAGCTAGGTTATTCGAACAAAGCGTGTATACAGAGACATCAAGGTGTCGACATTCGATCTGGAATTCTGACCGTGTAGTTTGTCAATTTGTGTGATTGGGGAACGGAAATTGTTGCATTCCAATAGTAAGTGGCATCAAAAGTGACAGTTTGACGACTTGAGGCTAACTTTTCTAAAGATCGCATGTTCTACACGCGGTGAGAGCAGACCGAGTCCAAGAGTACGCAAAAGGGCACGATTTGTCTGTCCAGGTTCGCGACCTCTTGCCATTATGACCTTCTCATTCCAAGCAACATTCCAGAGTTTTCGTGAAGAGGAATAGTTATTTGAACCAGTGTTCATTCTCGTATCAGACGAAAATTTGTAGTTATTTTAGACCAGGTCTCATGGGGACGGCAAGTCTTTTGGGGAGATGGCCTTTATTGGCGTTATGGGGTCCAATGGTATCCTAAATGTTACTACTGGGTAAACAGAGCATTGGAGTAGCAAACTCTGGGACTCATGTACACCTGGTAGTCCAGAAAATGGTCAGAACTTTGGGACGCAGATATTTGATGGCGGCGGTTGATACACCGTAGCCCACAACTTACCAATTTCATCACTTCTTAACGGTCATTTCCACTGTCAGTCTTGTTAGCTACCAAATGGAGTAGTAGTTCGTTCAGCTGTAGCGCCCTTTCGGTGCCTAACTGCCATGCCATCCGAAGGTTGCACGAGGGCTGGGATACTGCCAGGTTGCCCAAGCCTAGACAGGGGAAGTCGAGAGGCAGAGGTCGGGTTCGAACCACAGGCCTTCCGGTCAGTAAATTCGCGCTCCAACCACTTGAGCCATCTCGGAAAGATTTTCTTCAAGATGCATCCAGATAGCCAATTGGACATTGTTATCACGTGCATGCCAATTTAAGCTCGATTAACACCAGACTAGCCGCATAGGAAAGTATCCACAACGAATGATAAAACGCTGATCGCGTTCCTCCAAATGCAACCAGCTCGGTTGTCCTATCTAGCCTGGGTTTGAGAACATGTAGTCTGCACATAAAAAGTTGCTTTGATTCGAGATAGTACTCTTAGAACTAATCTGGTCCCTTGCAGTAAATATTTTCCTTCTGTTTGGAACTAAGCATCATGTTCGGGTTTTTATTTGTTTTCGGTAGGTGAGACGACAAAACAGCTGATATTCTGCCGTAAGTCCAAGGTCATGTGATCTTGGACGCCACTAGCCAATCGAATCACTAGCACTGTTTGCCGCACCACCACGTGACCACAACGTGATAGTGAAGCGGATGCTAGCGTAGGCATAACGTAGATAGTTTGGTCACAGACTTGTGACTGTTCCGCACAACGGAAGGTGAGTCGGATTTTTCCAAATGTTGGGTTACCTGTGTGATTCGGTCATTTACAAGTGTCTATTGCACTTAGTTGTGGTTTCATTGCGTCTGTGTTGATTCATTAGGCTTGTCCAATTTCGAGTGGAATTACTGCATTAGCTCAGTCACAAGTCGCATTCTATAGGTCTGATTTTTGGCTCTAGACATGGGAATCCAGTTTCCGGTAGGATGGAATAGGAAAGTTCACTGCGCTCTGGGTTATGCTAGTATAAGCAGCTGTATCAAATCCAAGTGCGATTCGGCACTGGATCAAAGATGACAAGTGAGGTGTCTATGCTTAGCCTGAATGACTCAACAGCTTCTAGATACAGTTTGAGATCATAATTTGGCCAAACTGTGGAATCGCCTACGGAAAGATGCTTCTGAACAGAAGCCCGAGAGAAGATCCAGGGGGGAATCAATGTTTTGTACTGAAAACCCACGTGCTATCAGGTATGTCGTGTGAACAGCAAAGCATCGACATTATTGCAGGCTTAAACGT